CCTATCCCCTGTNTGCCTTGCCTCCACGCTAATTAATAGTGTTTGTCCGCCATAAACATGCTATGTCCATAGGTTTTGCCTTAAAAACTGTTACGGTTTGCCCATGTTTTTTTGCATGAAAAAATACCGTCACGGATATGCTATGTTCATTGCAGTACTACAACGGACATGCTATGTCCGTGGCGGTCTTATAATCCGTGCCGTCTAAATAAATCGGACGGCATCGAGCCTATGGTCGAAAATACTGTTCATTTTTGCCCATAGGCATTGCATATTCTTTTCCTATACACACACCTATATGGGAAAAGATCCCGTCAGCCTACAGGTTGACAACTACAGTATCAGCCAACGGCCCAAATTGAATCTGGGCCCAATCTAATGGTCATGACCTCATTGCGTATTTGAATTTTTCATTTTTTTTATACAAATTCAAATATTTTGAAATTTTGTGTGTTTATTATTAAAATATAGTAGAATCTACTAAAATTAATTCGAAAAATATAAATTGACCAAAATACCTTTGAAACGTTTCGGGGGTATTTTGATCAATTTATATTTTGTGAATTATTTTTTGCGCCTAAATTTTCAAATGATTTGGATTTGTATAAAAGAAATGAAAATTTAAATACGAAATAAGGTTGTGATCATCAGATCGGCCCAGATTCAATTTAGGCCATTGGCTAACACTGTAGCAGTCAGCCCGTGGGCTGACAGCATCCATTCCCTATATATATATATATATATATGTATGTATATATGTATGTATATATATATGTATATATATATATATATATATATATATATATGGGTGGCATCTGCATAAGGTTGCAACTTTAAACAATCAAAAGTGCACCTCCAAATTTTGTCATAAGATGCAATTTTGGTGCCAAAAATTTTTAGGATGACCCGCGAATCTATTTCATCTCTAATTATAAAATTTTAAACTCCAAAAATGGTTTAAATCAAGTAGATTTGTAAACGCATGAAAAGTTTGAAAAGGGATGGTCCAGATAATGTGCTGCAAGATGCACTATTTTTGGTACTTGAAATCTTATTTTTTACCCTCATATATCCATTTACCCTCATATATCCATACATATCGATGTTGAGATGGTCAATTAGATGGCCTTCCAATGTCAAAATAGCCTTTTCTGATGGAGTTTTGAGGTGCACCTTAATTCTACAATTTAAGGTGTTATCCTTATTTAAACTTTTATAAACACACACACACACACACATATACATACATGCATACATACATGTGTGTGTGTGTGTTTTTTTTTTTGGGGGAGGAGGTGGGGTGATTCAGGAATTTATCAAATGCATCCAAGAGCTGAACTTTTTAACATTTTACCCATTTCTTTTGATTTAATTTCAAAACCCCATCAAAGGACATTGATAATGAGTTATAGTAGTTGAAATTTTAGATGTCCTTTGAGAAATCGGTAACCTCCTCCCTTTTCATCACCTTTTCATCACCTTTTCTTCCTTTAGATCCCTTTTCTTTTCTCTCCCCCAAAGCCCCTTTCTATTCTCTATCACCCCTATCTCCTCCCTCTGTCTCACTCAAGCCCTTCTGTCACAAGCCACTCTGCTTTCTCTCATCCCTTTTTATTATTTTTTTACATAGGGATTTTTTGGTTTTACTAGTAATACTTGTAAGAGCACCCACAACACATGGGCTTTTGTAAGACATATCCTGTTGTGAATATATATCCTTGCAAAATGTTAAATCATTGATGCCTCAGGTGTATTTAATATATTAGAGAGAAAGAGGAAAACAAGTACACTAGTTTCAGGTCTAAATTGCCAGCTTAGACATATTAGCTCTTTTATTCTATATCTGGAAATTATTGAGAACAAATGTCTTGTGTGTGTTGAGGGACAGCGAGAGGGGGGCAGAATGCAACGGAGGAACCAATTGAGTAAGTGGACTGGTGGTTTATTCTGCATGTCAAGATGATATTACACTCCAAATTTTGATGCCATGGTTATAATTGGTCGCTCTCACAGATAAAAGGGGTGTAATCATGTTAAGAGTTGTCTACAAAGAAACAATTTTGGACCCTGTTGTTTCTATAGCATCCAAATTTTCAATCAAACCCAAAATTTATACAGTACCAACAAATAACAACTAACCATCAATCATGGAAAATCAAAAACAAATCACATAACTTACCTAGGTCCTTGAACTGTGATTGACTCAAGAGAACAGCAGGCACATAAGCCTCAAGAGGATCCAGCTTTTTCCTGGTAAATAATGCATAAGTTCAGGATAGTAAATCATATGGGATTCTGGTGAAGCAAGAAATAACCCATTTGTATCCCAAATTTCATAAGCAAGCCAAAAAAGGGCGCATACAGTACAGCTATGCAAGCTGCAGAACTGAAGCTCAGAGATCATTACAAATTCAATCATAAACACAAAAAGCATAAATGTATGTATACAGTACAGTCATATAGTTCAGAGTGTGTACAGGTGTTTTATGCATGGATGCATATATATCTATACATGAGAGTGTGTGAAATGTAAACAGATGCATATATATGAGTGCCATGTGGAATGCTTCTTTGTAATTCCATTATTTAGGAGGGTTAGGATTGTTGGGGTCAGGGTGCCCTTCCTTGGTACTAACAATGAACACGATGTAAACAGGGAAATTGAGAAGCAAACAGGATGCCATGTTCAAGAGGATTTGCATTACGTCAAAAGAACTCCAAAATTTACAAAGAAATCTAAGAGAAAAACAAGGCCCCATGTGAGAGGATTTGCATTGCGTCAAAAAAAACTCCCAAATTGCATAGAAATCTAAGAAGCAAACAGGGCCCCATGTAGGAGGACATGTGTTACATCAAAAGAACTCCCAAAATTACATGGAATCATAGAGACATATTCAGGTTATAATATTGAAAACATTATAAGAGTCCTTGTCCTTTGAAGATTAGGTGTCATGATGAACATTATCTAATAAAAGAACAACAAATGACTAGTATATTTGAGAATAACAGCCAACAACAGAGAAAACGTTATACTGCCTGATTCACATTCATTGTTCATGGGGCCCTGTGTTACATCAAAAGAACTCCCAAAATTACATGGAATCATAGAGACATATTCAGGTTATAATATGGAAAACATTATAAGATTCCTTGTCCTTTGAAGATTAGGTGTTATGATGAACATTATCTAATAAAAGAACAACAAATGACTAGTATATTTGAGAATAACATTCAACACGAGAGAAAACGTTATACTGCCTGATTCACATTCATAGTTGTCCCGCCTTTACTCATCATACATCCAAGATATTATGATATAACGGAAAGATTGACATTGTGATGTGTTGTAAGACTATATTCACAATTTGATTTATATTTTTGAAGCTAGACATAATAAGCCATGTAAATTTGTGTCCTTTAGATTCTTTTTGTGAATGAATCATTTGTTATTGTGGCTACAGGGGGTTGCTCTAATAATAACAATTAGTGAATCCAGAATGTTTTTTTGGTTGAATTGAACTCATCCCTTTGTAATAAACAGTCATTTGAATCTGACAAAATTCTTTATTTAAATATGTTTCATGACATAATTCCCGTGTAAATGAAGTCGAAGTTCAGAAATAACTTCAACTTCAACTCTAGCAATTAATGCTGTTGTCTACATAAAGTAATAGCAAGATAATACACAGACTGTTTCAACAACAGGGAGAAATTTATCTTCTACAAGAGGGTAGGTGGATTCTTTTAAATTGTGTCTCTGGGTATATATATCAACCAATATTTGGCTTTCTTCATACAAACTGCACTCGAGTTATTAGACTGAAATTTTGTGAACTGATACACCCAAGGCTTCCTCCCGATATGGCAACAAAAAGGGTAAACACTCCTTTACAACAGCCCAACTTTTCCATGCCAACAGATGACTTTTACCCTTTAGTGCCACCTTTCGCCTATTCAATAGGGGAGCTACTTGACGAAGCCCCGGACATAAGGCCAAGTAATAACCATAACATTGATTGATCAATGATGGATCGATAATGAAAAAGAAAAACAAAGAAAAAAGGAAATTGGAACCTTTACTGAAAGGTTCCAAATTCCTTTCCAGGGAGGAACATTTACCAATATGCCCAGATTTTCCAAGAAAAAATGGAAATGCAAACACAAAAGTCCATTGTCCATTGAGATAAGATGACATTAAGTGAGTTACACTCAACAACGTGTTCATAGAAGTGAATAAAACTTCATTTTGAATCAGAAAACTCACCAAGTTAATTCGACTTGTTCAGTGGGTGAGTTTTTGAAAAGGCAAACTCAGGATGTGTTCTGAGTTTCTCTTCATTGAATAAATTTTTCCATTGATTTGGTAACATAAGGTCTCTAACAATCAGATGGCAATATAACTCGGCTCAACTGACAAGCTGAGTTCGAGCCCCCTTATAAATAGTTAGATTTTGACTATTCATTCAATAATCTGAAAAAATTTGCCGATGTTTTCCAGGTTACTGTTTGACTCAGCATGTTTACTCAGTTATGGCAATGACTTAGTCACCCGTTGAGTTTGAGTTTTTTAACCCTGGATATAGTTGATATCTATAATCTGAGCAACAAAATAGGAATGATCTGCTTGGATTGTCCACAAACACCCCAACACGTTAGGTGAGCAAATAGAAAGTTAACATAGTAGAATCAGTAACTAAAGTGATGAAATTATAAAGTTAACTTTATAAGCCATATAAAATATTAGCTAATCTTAGTTCAAACCCCCTTGGAAAGATGGATAGATACATTTCATAATCAGTCATTTATAGTTAGAAATTACCATTATATGATCTACTTAAAGAGATCAGATAACCCTACAGTTCGATGACAGCTATAAATTCTCAGAGTTCAGTCTACTTAAAGAGCGCAAAATCCTCAAACCCAACTTTTGGACTTTGTGAATGTGTACATTGGCATTACTAATTATAATATATAGCATAAAATCACCGTGTTTAGCCCATTAGAACCAACCATAAAAATCTATAAATCCATTGTGATAAAAAAGAAAAAGAATGCTCACCGTTTCACGTATCTATCGAAAAGATTGCCAGCCTGGGCATCTAGAAAAAAAAATGAATAAATCAGATTGTAATTTCTAAAAATACAATTCGTCCCATACATTCATTTCAGTTATCAATGCTCTTTTTAACTTTCAATTACATTGTCTTTCCTAGTTCTATTGTTGAGGAAACCCATGTAGTTGATTTTTTTTTGCCCTCCCCTGGGGTAAGTAAAGCCTCTTCTTTGTAAAATCATAGGAAATGATGTATACCTTACTTCCAAGATAATAATAAAAAAATTATGAAAAATGTTAAGATAAAAAATAAAATCACCAACAATTGCCAGCAGAAAAGCACAAATATATATATATATACACAAAAAAATTGAAACACCAAATAAAAAAATTTGAAGTTCCCATTGCTCTCATTGTCATTCAATTACCAG